TTTTTAAAAATTTTTTAAATTTTCAATATTTCAATTTTTTTTAGAATTTTGCAATTTTTTGAAATATTAAATTAAATTTTTAATTTTATAATTTTTTTAAAAAAATTCATATATCTAGACTTTTTTTTAAAAGTTAGAATTTAATTTTTGAAAAAATTTAAAATTTTTTATTTTTTAGAAAATTTCTTGGTTTTGAAAATTATTAATTTTAATTTTTTCACATTTGAAGTTTTCATTTAATAAAAATATCTAATTTTTTGTTTTAATTTTTATAAAATTTTCCATATATATTTTAATTTTTTATATCTTTTAGAAATTTTAAAAGAATTTTTTAAATTTCTTTTCTTGTTGATGTGCCGATGGCTGAACATTTATATTATATATCATAATTTTATTGGGTTTTCATGACACATAGCTACTTGACTGGTGAAAAAAGTCCAAAATACTAAAATGCTCAAAAGAATACAAGTTTAAATATCTATTTGTGAATTTTTATTCTATAAGTATCCAATTGAAATGTAGAGTATAAGAGTCAAATGAATATTTAACCTTACATATATTATGTTTTAAAATGAATTTCGTAATAATCAAAATATATATTTTTATAAATTTGAAAATTCAAATGTAATAATATATATTTTAAAAATGGATTCCATAATAATTTAAATATATATCTTTTTATCTTTTAAAATTTTCTAATAATTTATATATTTTTCAAATTTAAAAATCTCAAATGTAGTTTTTATCTTTATATATTTCATAATAATCTTTTGTTATTTAAAAAATCAAATTTCTTGATAATTTATATATATATATATATATATATATATATTAAAAACAAGCCATTCTTTAACAAAACTCACCAATTTTATTTCTCTACCATTCCTCCACCTTTGTGTGCAATTTTCTTTCTTCATATACTATAAAGTGCAAGTTACATAAATATTTATACTTTTCTTTTGTAGATGTTAATGGTAGACCCTTTGTTTTTAACTTTGACTCTTTTTTTTCATATATTACGAAGTGCAAAATTATAAAAATATTTATTTTCTATTTTGTAGGTGTTGCGGTAAGCCTTTTATCTTTATTTTTGACATTGTACTCAATCATTTAATATTTTTGTTTTCTTTCAAATTAGCTTTAACTTTTTTTTTTTTTTGTTTTTGGGTTTTCAATCCATTGTAAATCTACTTAGAACCCAACTAAGCTAATCATACATATATATTTCATTAGATACAAATTTACTTGATAAGTTTTGCTTGCATGGATATTAGATAGATAGTCTTTTTAATTTGATACGTATGAAATTTTTGAAAACTTATATTTAAGATGACACGTTCGACGTCATAAATGTGAAGTTCAGAACAATTTAAAGGTGTAAAATTTGACAAGCCATATGATGTTAAATATCAAGATGTTAATGAAACTTCTAAAAAATATATGTATACATAAGTAAGTTATCACATAAATTATTTAAAATTTTAGAGTTAATATATAAAATTCATAATTAGGTATCTAAATTTCTATTTTGTCATTCACTTTGGTACTCGAACTAATGCTATTAGTCATGTTGCTCACATAGTATAAATATCGAATAAAATCATGACAAGTGGCAACAAAATTTCACAAGATTGCTAGGTTCATCACCATTTTAGCACTAATAAAAAATTCAAAAAATTTTAAAATATTAAAAAAATCAAAAAAATTCTAAGAAAAGAAAAAAATTGTAAAAGTAACAAAAATTCTAAAAATAATTCAAAAAAGAAAAAACCCAAAAAATAAAAAACCATGAAAAATATGAAAAATATGAAAAGAATTTAAAAAATTCCAAAAAATAAAAAAGTAAAAGATATGAAAAAAAACAAAAAAATTAGATTTTATCCTTTAAAAGGATTCAATTTTTTTTTTTACTTTTTAAGATTTTTTCTAGATTTTTAGAATATTAATTTTTTCAATATTTTAATTTTTAAAAATTATATTTCTTATTTTTTAAAGTTCATATATTAGTTAGTTTTACAATTTTTTTAATATTTCAATTCTTTTTAGAGTTTTGCAATTTTTTGAAATATTAAATTAATTTTTTTTAACAAAATTCATATATCTAGACTTTTTTTTTAAATTAGAATTTAAATTTTGAAAAAATTTAAAACTTTTTATTTTTTAGAAATTTTCTTGGTTTAATAAAATATTAAATTTAATTTTTTTAATATTTAATATTTTTAATTTTTTCACATTTAAACTTTTTATATAATAAAAATATTTAATTTTTTTGTTTTAATTTTTATAAAATTTTCCATATATATTTTTTAATTTTTTATATCTTTTAGAAATTTTAAAAGAATTTTTATTTTTGAATTTCTTTTCTTGTTGATGTGGCGGTGGCTGAACATTTATAACATATATCATGATTTTATTGGGTTTTCATGACACATAGCTACTTGGTTGGCGAGAATAGTCCAAAATACTAAAATGCTCGACGGAATGCAAGTTTAAATATCTAATTGTGAATTTTTATTCTATAAGTATCAAATTGACATAAAATGTAGGGCATAAGGGTCAAATGAATATTTAACCCTAAATATATTATGTTAAGGGTCAAATGAATATTTAACCCTAGATATATTATGTTTTTAAATGAATTTCGTAATAATCAAAATATATATTTTTATAAATTTAAAATTCAAATGTAATAATATATATATATATATATTAAAAATGGATTCCATAATAATTTAAATATATATCTTTTTATCTTTTAAAATTAATTTTTGAATAATTTATATATATTTTAAATTTAAAAATCTCAAGTGTAGTTTTTATCTTTATATATTTCATAATAATCTTTTATTATTTAAAAATATCAAATTTCTTGATAATTTATGTATATATATATATTTTAAAAATAAGCCACTCCTTAAAATAAACTCACCAATTTATTTCTCTACCATTCCTCCACCTTTGTGTGCGATTTTCTTTCTTCATATATTATAAAACGCAAAAATTACATAAATATTTATTCTTTTCGTTTGTAGGTGTTAATGGTAGACCCTTTGTTTTTAACTTTGACTATTTTTTTCATATATTACGAACTGCAAAATTGTAGAATAATTTATTTTCTATTTTGTAGGTGCTGCGGTAAGCCTTTTATCCTTGCTTTTGACACTTTACTCAATCATTAATTATTTTTGTTTTCTTTCAAATTAGCTTTAATTTTCTTTGTTGGTTTTCAATCCATTGTAAATCTACTTAGAACCCAACTAAGCTAATAATATATATATATATATATATATATATATATTATTAGATACAAACTTCTTGTATGGATATTAGATAGATATCTTTTTAATTTGATATGTACGAAATGTTTGAAAACTTATCTTCAAGATGACACGTTTGATGTCATAAATGTGAAGTTTATAACAACTTAAAAGGTGTAAAATTTGGCAAGCCATAAGATGTTAAATATCAAGATATTAATGAAATTTCTTAAAAAATATATATACGTATGTAAGTTATCACATAGATTATTCAAATTTTTAGAGTTAATATACAAAATGGCCCATTTACTATATATAATTTTTCAATTTAGTACCTAAGGAAATAAAATTCACACTTAAATACTCCAGCTTTCATTCCATTACTTTAGCATTTTAAACTATAACCATCAATTAAGTAATTGACATGACATGAAAACTCAATAAAATTATGTTACATCATTTTTGCTTACATGCCACGTGTAAAATGGCCCCATTCTCCACTCTCTTCTCTCTCTTTGATTCTTTTCAATTCTCTCTTTATTTATTTATTTTTATTTTGAATTAAAAACATTTTGTTAATTTTTTTGAATTTTTATTTAAATGCTGATAAAACAATAAATAACGTAGTGATGATTGAATATTTACGTCACGTGTCACAATTTTATTAGATGCTAATGTCACATAAGCAACTTGACTAATGATGTTGTTTGAAGTATTAAAATATTTGATGGAACGAAAATTTTAATGTTTAGTTTTGAATTTTATTTCTTTAGGTAGTAAACTAATAGAAAATGCATAGTTTGAGTCTTTTTTCACATTTAACCAAAACACCTAAAATCATCAATTTTCTTGAATAAATAAAATTTATTTTAAAATTATATAAATATAAAGGTGTATAAAAATAACACTACAAGATAAAGAAGTTGCAAATTGAGGAAAGTTAATTGAAGTGACGAAATTTTTAGTTTTTATTTTAATATTTTATTCGTTTACTTAATAAAATTATTTATAATATCTTGTGGATATTTTTTTTCTTCAAATATTTTTTTCTTTATGAGGTATTCCTAAAATATTATTTATAATATATTTTGAATTTTGTCAAAATTTTTAATTAAAAGGTTTAATTGTACTATGATTTCATATCTTATATATTTATGTATTTTACAGATATCATGCTTGGTAATATAAGATGATAAATAGAATACAATACTAATCATTCTATATTATATTTGATTTGTATATAAAGAAAATGATAAGATTACATGGAGTATTAATCATTATCTTGATATAAGAGGATTCAGTTATCTCAAAATGGAAAGGATTAATTTTAATTCATAAGATTGAACTTACATATCCTATTAAATCCTTAAAAATTATATCAATAATTTAAATTATATAAATTTTGACTAATAAATAAATTATCCTATTATAATTCTTACAAATATCAAATATAAATAAAAATAATATTATTTAATCTAATTCTATTCATAATATCACTTTATCCTATCTTATCATAATTTTATATACTAAATACATCCATAAATGATTAAATGGTGTTAAATTATGATTTTACATATATTTAAATAAATGAAAATAATCTATGGATCACCCGGATAACAAGTTAGTTTAAAAAATATAAACAATAAATTTAACCTTTGTTTGGGTTGCGTCGGACTCTTTTGTTCTCGGTTTTTGGACTTCCATAATAAAGTTAAAAACCAGTTGCATTTGGGCTTAGGCTTGCTTATGACAACATTGGCCTGAAGCATGAAAGATTCATTTTAACGATGTCGTTTTAATGTCAATGACATTTAAAATGGCCGGAAGGACTACCCTTTACTTTCACCTTTTGTTCTTTCTTCTTTTGTTTTTCAATTGCCCTTTTTTGGCTCTTCAATCCAAACTCGATATCGGAACACCAAATGGCAGCCTCAGCGATGGTGGCGGAACCGAAACCCTCCTCTGAACCGCCGTTTCTCACCACAAGATCCGACTTTGGCCGGTACCTGGCGGTGGACCTCGCTGGTGCGGATGAAGACGATCTGTACGGCAGGCTGAAATCCCTTCAAAGGCAGTTGGAGTTCATAGACATCCAAGAAGAGTACGTGAAGGACGAGCAGAAGAATCTCAAGAGAGAGCTTTTGAGGGCTCAGGAGGAAGTCAAGCGGATCCAGTCGGTGCCTTTGGTAATAGGCCAATTCATGGAGATGGTTGATCAAAACAATGGAATCGTGGGCTCCACCACGGGTTCCAATTATTATGTGAGGATATTGAGTACCATTAACAGAGAGCTGCTAAAGCCGTCGGCTTCGGTGGCTCTTCACCGACACTCCAATGCTCTGGTCGACGTTTTACCTCCTGAGGCTGATTCTAGTATTTCTCTGCTTAGCCAGTCCGAGAAGCCCGATGTTACTTACAACGTTAGTTTCTTATCTCTTTTTTTTTTTTTTGTAGTTTATCCTATTTTGAAGTTTGGTAGTTGATTTATTTTTTTGAATTTATGGTTTTGCAATTTGTGATGACAGATTAGGGATTAGTGTTTTGCTTCCTTTCTATTTATTTATATTTAGGGGATTTGGGTTAATTGTTGGAAATAAAGAACGTGGGTTTTGTGATTTTTTTCCAATGACTGGTTCATTCATATAATCTTGTGGTTGCTTTAATTCTTAAGTTGAATACTTGCTAATTGATTTATTTGGATATGTAATCAAAGATTAGGGTTTTTTTTTTCTTCCTGTTTATGCAATAGTCTGGAGAATATGTGGTTTTGGGTTAATTATTTTTTTATGAAATATGTTTATACACACTGCTATGGAAGATTCAGAAATTGATTGCCAATATTTATTAATTCTTATTTAGTGGTTTATTTTAATGCCAAAATAAAAAGAATTGCATAGATTTGAGTCTCTTTCCTCTTTCATTAAATATTTGATGTATGAGTTTGATGCTATGGATATATTAAACTAATTCCCTTATGTTTTATGTGCTCCTTTGTATTAACTTGTTTGATTTAGCCAGATAAACATAGGATAGGCCTCAAGCTGGAAAGTGATGTGGAGTGACTTACATCTGTTACATGGGAAAATTCGCTTAACTGCCTTCTTTCTATATGGCTTATTTATTTTCATTAGGCAACATATTGCCTTATCCCATATAGTCTATTACTTGATGTAAAGGGAGAGTACAATAATGAGAATAATAACTAAAACAGGCTTTAATGTTTCATTAGTTGACCTGCAATTTTGGGTTGTGTTAGATGTTCCTGGATAATTAAATGGTTAGGACTCCTGAAATATCATGTTCTATAGAACTGATGGGTTCTGCACTGAATTTGTACCATTATTGGTGTTTTCTTTTATCAAACAATGATACTTCACATGTGGCACAAGTTGAAGGATTGTTCTTTATTGAGTAGTTTATTTCATTTTAAATGCCCTTGTGGCTTCACAGGTAATTGTATTGCAACAAACCATATCATATTTTGAGTATCTTTCATGATTTGTAATTGTCCATGTGTTTTTGTAATCTTGTAACTATACTATTATATGAAAAATGTTATATATTTTTCTCCAATTTATTGTGGGGGATCTTTGCATCATTTGTCTTGTATGATTGATCCTAGAAAAATTTTACATATTAGCATCTTAGTTGCTTTATTTCTGTTGAATTTGTTTGAATGTTCTGTTATATTGATTCCTTTATGTACCCTTTTTTCTACTGATAAATAAGTACTGGCCTTAAATTTAAATTCATTTCCAACTATCAAATTGGAATTTTTTATAGACACCAACTACAACCTTAAGTCATATTTGGTACCTAAATCTTAACAGTAGCGAATTGATTGATGTGCATTCTTGTATTATTTTTATTTGTTGGATAAAGATTCTTTGTTATGGTTAGTCTCTGATGTAGTATGTTAACCAGACTCTTTGAGTACATACATTTTTCTTGGAATAAAAATGACAATAGTTATGCTTTTGGTGGTTGTTTCTGGATCTGAGACTTTGTTCTCTTCTCTTAGGATATTGGGGGATGTGACATTCAAAAGCAGGAAATTCGTGAGGCAGTAGAGTTACCATTGACTCATCATGAGCTCTACAAACAGATTGGGATAGATCCTCCTCGTGGTGTTTTACTATATGGTCCCCCTGGCACTGGAAAAACAATGCTTGCAAAGGCTGTTGCTAACCATACAACAGCGGCCTTCATTAGAGTTGTTGGATCTGAATTTGTTCAAAAGTATTTGGGTGAGGTAAGGGGATCTAGTAGTCATTTTTCTTTTAATTTTTATTATTGGATTCATCATTCACTTTAATGTAAGACTTAGTTGCCTTCAGTAAAACTTGACTTTCCTTCTTACTGATTTTGTTAATTGTTGGCCGCACGCTTCCTATTCTGCCTGTGGATAATAAAACTTGAGCATTGTATTGTTTTAGGGCCCACGGATGGTTCGTGATGTCTTCCGTCTTGCTAAAGAGAATGCTCCGGCTATTATCTTTATTGATGAAGTAGATGCCATTGCTACTGCTAGGTTTGATGCTCAAACTGGAGCTGATAGAGAAGTTCAGCGTATCCTCATGGAACTTCTGAATCAGGTAGTATATATGATGAGAAATTTGTTAACGAATCAATAAAGATGCTGCATAGTCATTCTCCTTAAAAATATCTGAGGAAATTGATATTTAAATTTACAAAATTTTTTTCTGAACTATTGCTTTTGCAACCAACTTTTCTAGATGGATGGATTTGATCAGACTGTGAATGTTAAGGTCATTATGGCAACCAATCGAGCAGACACTTTGGATCCTGCACTTCTTCGACCTGGAAGGCTTGACCGAAAGATTGAGTTTCCTTTGCCTGATAGAAGGCAGAAGAGGCTTGTTTTCCAGGCAAGTATGGAAATGTATCAATGCCTGATGTCATTATTGCCATTAGCACTTTTCTGTCCTATTTATGATTGTCTTTAGTTGTTTATTTTTCATTTGTTCCTCTCAATTTATTCTGATTAGATTGGGATTACGAAATGTTGCATTTCATTTTGTTGGCTGTGTTTAAGGTGATATTTCCCTTCACAGGTCTGCACTGCCAAAATGAACCTAAGTGATGAGGTGGACTTGGAGGATTATGTTTCTCGACCCGATAAAATTAGTGCTGCGGAGGTTTGTTGTTGCATACTATCATAGCTTCGTATCTATATTTCTCTAGTTTAGGTCATAAATCTTTTTCAATCATTATTTGGCATGCCTGTTTGATTCATACAGATTGCCGCTATCTGCCAAGAAGCTGGAATGCATGCAGTTCGCAAGAACCGATACGTCATACTTCCCAAGGACTTTGAGAAGGGTTACAGAACAAATGTGAAGAAGTCTGACACTGACTTTGAGTTTTACAAATGATGAGATCTTGAAGCCGGGGAGAAGTTTGCAAATGCTGGTATTTGTGGGATTGTTACATGCGAACATTGGTTTGATAGGGTTCATGTCACTCTAGTCCTAGTGTCTGTAGACTTGGGAGCACAGCTACGACATAAACTTGAGAATTTTCAATTTGGAAAAAGGGCAAGCTATTGATAGGAGTAATAGAGACTTTGATGTGAAAATACGGGATCCATAGATCTTTGGTATGGAAATTTGAAGATTAAGTAATATGAGCGATGTATAATCAATCTTTAAGTTATGAGATCAAGGGCGATGTATAAAATTAATCTTTTTGAGTTATGAGATCCTTCTCCTTGAACCGTTGCTTTAGTTATGTGTTGTGGCTATTCTTTTATGGACATATAACTTGTCAAAGTGTTGATCATTGGCTTTAGATTTTAGAGTTCTTTTTCCAGCATCAAAATATTTTAAAAACAACGTTTCCTAAAATTTTTGGTTCCAAGCTTATTAAAGGAGATTATTATCTATCTACCAAGTATAATATGTATAAAAAGGGCTGACGAGACTCAAGTTAAATCGAAAAACCCGACCAAAATGGAAGGTTTAAGGTAAATCGGGTCAGCTAATTCAGGTTATATGAGTAATTCGGTTTAAACGGTTTAGGTGGTCGATTTTTGAGTTTAGTCTCTGACACTCTAATCGATCAAGAAAATCGATTTTATTTCCCTAAAATTGATCTCGACATGTCTTTCGCTGGCACTCAATTCTATTTCTTTTCTCTGCCTCTCTTCAAACCATTTTCTACTTCAGCTCTCCTTAGTTCCAACAAATCACAGATCTGAGTCAAATTTTCACTCACTCAAACTTTCAAGCTCTCACTCTCTGAATATCTCTGGAGTAACAGTCACAAACGATTTGTTGGCTCTTTTGGAGTTCAATCTTGAGCTCAATCTGGTCCATCATTCTATTTCCCTAAAACTGATCTCGACATTTCCTTCACTCACACTCATTCTATATCTCTTCTCTGCCTTTCTTCAAATCCAGATTTCAATCTAGCTTTCCATAGTCCTCACAAATCTAAGTCCAGCTCTCATTCACTCAAAATTTCAAGCTCTCACTCTCTCAAGTCAGTCATAAACGATTTGTTGGCTTTTTCGGATAGTGAAGGGAAGAGAGACAAAGAAAGAGAATATGGTGGGGCTTAGCTAGCAATTGATCACCTTGGCTCGGACTTTGGAATAAAGACGAAAGAGTTCAGGGCTTACCAACAAACATGAGGGAACTAGATAGGGAGGTGAGTGCCTTTGGTTGGTGGCAAGGAATTGGATTCTTATTCGCCTCTATCCGGTCCCGGGACCACTTCTCCCTGTTCCTTTTCATGTTGCTTCCGTTAATCGCCTTGGTCCAGCATTAGATCCCGTGGGTCCGGGCATTCCTTACTTTTATTAGTGAGCTGGGGTCAGCCAGTGTAGAAGAATACTTGGACAATGGAGCTCCCGTTCCTTCCATCCGACCGGATGCAGAAAGAAGAGATGAGGACTTGGAGTGCATTCATTCCCCAGGTTCGGTTGCTGCTACTTCGGAAGATTGAGAATGGTATCGACTTGCCCCAATGGGAAGTAGGCTCTATTAGGCATTCCTGGGTCTACAATCACACTAAAAGAATTCCGAGAGCAAGCATTCAAGGTTCTTCTATCTTGACTTGAAAGCTAGTAAACGTCAAGTGAAATAGGAGTTCTCTTCTATCGCACCGATTACTGATTTTCGTGAAAAAGGGCTTATGAAAGATTGACTGAAGTAACTTTCTCTACCACTTAGGTGAGCTAGCTATTGTTTGAGCTATTTTCCTGAAGCGATTCCCCTTGCTTGTAGCTTGTAAGTAAGAAATGGGTTATTCAACCAGTTGATGAGAGTCGGTTAAAGAATGGATACTACGCGTCAATTCTCAGTCGAGTTAGTTCAACTGATCTTCTCTGAAGTAAGCGCACTTTCCCAAGCTTGAAGCAAGAAAAAATGAAGGCCATAATAAAGGGCTCTAGCTAGAAGGCATAACTCTACTTTATTTAATGGCCACTTCCTATTAAGATAAGGTTTCCCATCCCTCATTGCTGCTGTTAAAGGATTTGTTGTTTTTACTATGCCCCTTTTTCTACAAGTTCAAATAAGGTGCCAGGGATACCTAAGCCCGAAATCTATTTCTCTGATGAATTGTACACGCGCTCTTTCTAATGATAAACGCTATCTTCAAGCCATGCTTTGGTTGCCTTGAGGTTTTGACTCCTTTTTTTATCCCCAATTGTGCATCTATATCATGAGATGTTTCTGTAGTGCCCCTCCACTGATTTCAAATTGTTGGCTTCAACTGCATGATATTCACATTTGGTGTACGAGACTGCGAGCTTTAGATAAGCATTGTTATAGAAAGATCCAAAGACATGAAGCTAACACCTGGCACCGGAAATAAAATTTGGAGGGAGCGGTGAATATTGCGGGATGCAATCATCTTGAAGGAAAGACTCTTGTGTAGTAGTTTCCTCAGGGATTCTCCTAATAAATTCCATCACCTAACAAGGAAGCAGCGATCGAGTGAATAACATATATACTTCTAATGTAAAGATCAACTAGGATAGAAATAAAGCATTGGGTAGAACTCTTCTTTGGTCTCAAGGTAATAGCTATAAATAATCATAGACTCATCGAAAAGGGTAGAAGAATGGGACTTATTATGGGACATACGAAGGATTTCAAGTGTATGATCATTACGCTTCAACTAGGTTATTCTATTTCACCTCTTAGATTGAAAAGAGTTTAAATCAAAATACCTAAGAGCACGGCGATACATTTATACAAAACTTCTACCCTGGGCACATGCAATGGAGCCAAAGACAATCAAGTGAAATCCAATCTATGAAATAATTTGATTTATGGATAGCATCAAAGGTCATAATGTCAAAGGAATCATTACTGCAAGGCATAGAGAGGGAGGTCATAAATGTTTATATCGTAAAATCGATTTTTAACGAAATGAACAAGATATATATCATAACATCATAACCATAGAATATGACCCTAATTGAAATGTATACATTTGTGTCATACACTATGAGGATGGTGAGAAGAGATTTATTTTACATACCAGAAAGGCTATAATTGAAGATACCATTGTCCGATACTTTGTATGAACTCCTATAATAACAAACTTGCAAAATGGATTTGTTTATCATAAAGAGAATAGTTGTTCCTGACCCTACTTTATCTTAATTTTTATTTGAACAAGTCAAAGTTATGTTTTGGTCTAAGTGGAGATAATATTTCTCTTCTATATGTCCATGGAGTTTTAAAAAATCCAAACATCTCAAAGATAGATAGAGAGGTGGGAATTTGTCAAATGAACTACACTCTTTCGTATATGTCAAAAGTCCATTGATGAGAAGGGCCAGGGGGAATCTTGAACCTAATTCCTATAATGATGAATATAAGCGCAATTGAAATTTTTGGGGAGTTATACATTTGTATATTGATAAGACCATTCTCTATTTCTTGAAGTATGATCTTTCACTCGAAAGAACCATACAGCCAAGAAAAACCATGAACCAGAATAAAAGGCAATCACTTACCATTCGTTAGTGGTGTAACTTGCAATCATGGTTTCTGGTATCAACACAGATAATCGAATATCAATCACAGTTTGATGTGCTTTATTTAATTTAAACCCTTTTCTTGCTTTTTAATGTATAAATATGTAAAGGAAGGCATTTTTGGGTCTAAAGGAAAAAATGATCTTTTCTTTCATTAAAGACATCAGTAGCCAGTTATGAGTATTTTCAAATTTTGGGCTGACCTAACATGTACAATGCCACATCAACTTGGTCATGTCACCAATTTATCCTGCAGACCCTATGCTTTCCATCTATAAGTAGGGCTATCCAGGCATTATCTAATCATTTTGCTTTTTTTTACTTTCTCTCTATTTTACTTTCTTTTTGACATCTTATAGCCAACCTCTGACTTAAGCGTTAAAATGCAATTGTAAGAAACACTCCCTGCTTTCACCTTTTATAGCTCTCTTTTTCACTATTGTGATTTTAAGGTTTTACTCTTCAATTCGAAGTTTAGCACAAACATTTGACGCGCTAGGTAAGAGTTATTATACATTCTCTGGCCAAGCTAAATAATATGCCACATAGAAAGAGAGTTGTTGAGGAAAGAGAGCCAGTTGTCCCAATTGGAATAGAAATCTGCACTAGCCAACCTATAGACTGACCTACGTTTCTAGCAGTCCCAACAATGGAACAATTTCTAGCCCTAAGTGAACAAATACAAGCCTTCAAGTAAATGTCCCAAACCATAACCCTACCCTATACCTCCAAAGTACTTAACATAGTCAGCCTTGGTAAACAATTAGTAGAGACACAACTGAGTTAGAAAGATGTTGAAGATTTTTCAGCCTTAAAAGAAAAAGAACATACCACTATAGAAATCCATCATCATTACCCCAGCCATAACTCCACTCATGCCACCACCCAAACATCCAAACATTTACCCGAAACCCCAATCGAATAGAAACTTGAAAGCTAAGATGTAGGTAATGGAAAAAGAATTGAAAAGAAAGGCCATTGCATTTAAGGACGAGTTAAGGTTCATAGAGACCTCGCTCTTCACTGAAAAAATAGATTGGACCATGCCTCCCAATGGGTTCAAGATGCCAACCTTAGAAACTTATGATGGTAAAACTGACCCCTTTGATCATTTGAAACTTTATAGAACTAACATAATGTTGTAAAGAATAGGCAAGGATCTCATTTGTAAAGGTCTAGCAACGACACTTAAAAGAACAGCTTGGTCCTGGTATAGTGGTTTGAAACTGAGGTCTATTACCATATTCAAAGAGCTCAGTCATGCTTTTCTATCTCATTTTATCAATAGTAAAAAAACCAAGAAAACAGCACTCAGTCTAATGTCCATCTATTAGGGAAGAAATGAATCTCTAAAAGACTATGTAATGCATTTTAATGTAGAAGCCCTTTAAGTAAAAGACTTAGAACAAATTGCTACAGTTGTCGCTATAACCAATAGACTTAGTAATAGAGAGTACCACCTGAAGCTTACACTTTCTCTTGAACTGCTAAGGATTTTAGTTGACATGCTACTTATCAAAGAAAAATATATAAATGCTAAAGCTACAATTAAAAACTAAGGTGAGAGATGCTCATCCCTTTCTTCGATGGCTAAGGTGAGAAAGGCTTATCTTCTTTTCTTGATAAAAAAAGGTAAAGAAGTCTACGATCCTCTTTATAATCGATGAAACCCTAACAAAATATACGCATTTCACAAAGACTTCAGCTATAATTCTAAAGACTGTGTCTACCTAAA